CTGTAAGTGTCTTGGTAATACGTGATGGTGTTCTGTAATGAATGTAGTGAGAATTCTTGCTTTTGGCTTTCCCTCACCTTTTAATGAAAAGATGGGAGGGGAAGAAAGACTTCTCCAGTGGAAGACCATGCTGTACAAGATGGTGACAGTGGTGGCTCTCTTGTAGACCAGGGGTTTGTGTGCTTGATGCCACTGTTCTGTTTGTCTGCTCTGAGAGCAAGGGTCAACATGGTGCTGGAAATGCTTTCATCCAACTGGTTCCTTTTCTGCAGTGGTTGTACTTAGGCCATTGCTCTTCCCCTTGTAGCTGGACTGCTGTTTTGTACTAGTTGGGCATTCTAGGAAAACAGGGGATTGCAATAGAAAAGGAGGCAAGAATGCAGGAAACAGTATTGAATGTTTCTAGTACTATGCTCACTAGACTAACCAAGTGGAAAATACTTGATATTCTGAGAGAAATGTGCAGTCTTGTTTTCATTTCCCAGAAAGATAAAGACTTCTTTAATGTTCTCTGATCCAAACTCCTATCAGCTTGGATGCTTTGGTGAGGCTTTGCTACATTGACTATATCTATTTAGATTCTGCCCGCTTTCAAATGCCAAATAATTCCTCTGTTGGTGGTTCTGCTGCTGTTAGCTTTGCTGCTATTCCTTGCTTGCTTACGACAACACTTGTGAGTTTAGGATTTGTTATTTGTTGTGGCCTTGGTCATAGTGTTGCTTTTAATAGTAAGGAAGCCACCAGTGCACTGTCCAAAATGAGGCCAGCGTTTGAGTTCTGCTGGGGTGGCTGCACTCCTGTGAGCAGGGGTGGAGAGGTGGGGCTGCTCTACTCCAGGACCTTCTGAAGCAGCTCGTGCTCGTTTCCTCACTGGTGTAACACGTCCAGTGTGTGGTCTCCATTTTGCAGTGCCCCTCTGGCTGAAGTCAAGTCCATTTCTAAATTCCCATTTTAGCTGGAGCCCGTGTACTGAGCCCTGGTTTTCTGATTATTTTTTCTTCTAATGATACGATTGGAAAAGTTGACACTACTTCTCATTTTTGTCATTGCAGAGATTTTTCCTGTCTGTTTTCTCCCAGCCTTTCAGATGTCTGCAGGGGTTAGCATTCCAGGAAAAAACTGACATCTTTACTGTGGTGATTTGCAAAGCGTGAGAGAGAAATAACGGAATCTGGCTGCGTATGTTGCCTGCTAAACGTTGGGCTTTAATTACATTAAATTAATGTCCCCAAAGGCATCCTCTTTGCTTTTTAGTTAGATTTTTTCAAACTAACGTTTTTAAACCCTCAAGATGAACAAAAGTGGTGGAGTTTACACAGACAACAGACCTCTACTGTACTTCCTGATGTGGTCAATTGAAAACTCTTAAGCTCAGACATAAAGCCTTGTATCCTGTGTGCTGAGAAACAGACTGGATGCCTTCCAGATATTTCTGAAGAACATCTTGGAAACAAAATGAGCACTTTCCTTGGAATTTAGCTGTTCAGGGTGATCATCTGCTGGGACCCACTTGAATGGTGCTTGAACTCCAAGGCTGCTGACACGGCTGGAGATGCACAATACCTGTGTCTGCTTATTTGATGGGCAGAGGTTCATAACTAGTCAATGCAGCACAGCTTATCACAGAAAACTCCTCCCCTCTGCCCACCCTGAAGAAGTCATAAATCATGATAGAAACTGCTCAGCATGTCAATAGGCTGTAGAGCTTTGAAAATCATTTCCAAGGCTGTATAACTGTGAGAAGAGAACATTTATCTTTTAAGACCTCTTTGGCTTGGATGTGAAGTGATGCTTGGACAATGCACAGGTTTTTCTGGACAGAAGATGGACCTGCCTGAATCTGCTTTTGTTTTCTTGCTCTCCTGTCTGAGGACACTTTGCTGCAGAGCTGGGGCTGGCAGGGTAGTTTTGGAATTCCCTTGTTCACACGCCTTTGCAAATTGGTGCGTATTTAAAAGGATTGACTAGAACCCAGAGTTTTATCTGGTCTTCAGGCATGCTTAAATAAAACTTTGAAGCATTCAGGCTTTCCTCCTGGGTGTGGTTTGTAGCCCTGAGAACAGACACTGCCACTAGAGTATGTCAACTGCTTTGCACCCTCTTGAGGAGGCTCCTTTGGGTTTCCGTTGACAGGTACCATGTCAAATTTGGTAACTAATATAGGGAGGAAACTAAGACTTCATCTGGTTTGTATTTGTGGTTGTACTGTACTGTCCTGCTCTGAAGTATTTGGGAATTAAATAGTTTTTATTGAGCAAATGCCCCAAAGATTTTTTTTTACTTCAGACCGTTCTTCTGGTGTGGTTTAGCAATTCTCATGTGCCTCTAACACTGTCTAGGTGCATTGAACTTCTGCTAGAACAAACTGAATTGCTACTCTTTGTAGAGATTGATGTTCCCATCCAAAATTTGCTTCCTAAAATGTGCACAAGAAATCTTTTTCAGCAGTTTGAGCCATAGTAGTAGTTTAGACATCTGTTCTCATAGAAAATTGTTTGCGTAGGTGCAGCTGATCCCCTGCCACCTTCCCTTCCTGCTGTTTCAGGGGAGTGTGTGCAAGGATCCAGTCTTCAGCGTTCATCTGTTAAAGGCATGAGTCCAACTTGCACCTTTTGGGTTGCAAACTGACAATTATTGCCTAGCAGGGACACTACCAGCTGCCTTCCTGCTTTCCCTGGGATTCTGCTCGGCAGCGGTTGTTGTCTGAGCCAGTGTGTAGTGTTAACTTCTACAGCGTGGCTGCAACACAGCCTAAAACCAGTTGTCCTCTCAGCCTTCCACAGGGTTGTTTCTGGCACTGCACTCTTGTTTGAGAAGTCAAGTGACATTGGTTTCATTGCCACCCCCATGGCTTTGTTTTGTAAGCAGGCTGAGTTCCATCCCAGCACAGACTGTTTTTAACCTGAAGACGGCACAACGTGTCTAGATGCATTTAAATGTCACTTGTGACTTGGTGGAAACAAGAGCTGTTCCTGAGAGCAAGAGCAGAAGGAGACCTTAGGCTGCTCTGACTTGGGTTTAGGCTGAAAGATTTTAATGCCCTCCTACTTTTGTACTATGCTGTCTGCAGGGCACAGAGCAACGTACAGCCTTGAAGCTTTTCAAGGTAAAAGGGAGTAATCCCTTCAGATAACTTCAGCCACAGAGCCTGCCTGAAATATGGAACACAGCCAGAGAGAAATAATGTCTGGTTTATAACACTCAGAATTCACTTTTAAAGACTTTCACATGATCTTAAAAATATCTGTTGATTTTTTAAAGTGTATTGTTGGGCCCTGGTGATGAAAGAAAATAGTATCACTGTAGAGACTTTGGTATAATATTCTATATAGTAGTTGGAGATTCTTGTGTGTACTGTTCATGAAGACTGTGTAGGCTTCCCATGAAGAGAACTTGCACATTTTTCACACCCTGAGTTTGTCAAGTTTGTGTTGGAAGAAGTAGCATATGGTAGGTGTAACTCTGATGTTTGAGTTTTTCTGTAGATGAAATTGGTGCCTGCCTTTCCTGCTGGGAATAGCATGACAGGGCACTAGTTCTTCAGCTCTGGAAGACTTCTTTTAGTTTTGAAGTGCCTGAGAAGTATGAAAAGTTAATTCTGTTTGTCTTTGATGAATATTGGAGAAATACTAGAGCGCAGCACCTTGACTTCCGATGTTCAGGCCTTGTTTGGCTCAGTAATAACAAAACTACTGCAAAATGGCTCTTTGCTGCTTCTGGGAAACAGCTTTGGAACTGGAGCAGAACTACCAGATGGGAAGGAACTTAGTCCTGCTTCCAGCCTTGGAACACAAAGACTGATAAGTGTGTGCACTACCACTGGTAATAGGTGGGGAGGATGGGGTGAATAAGTCTTAAAAGGATTTATTTTCCCCTTCATACCCTCTTTTACAGATAACAGAAGGCTTTTCATCTGATCTGAAGAGAACTGGCTGTCTAGTTGTAAAACCTGTGCCTGATTCTGTTGCTGGACAGCTCTTGCTCATAGCTCAGTGGGTGGCTACAGCAGTGCCAGTGATTACAAGAGCAGCTTTAGTGGTGTACCCAGTTTGTACACCTCTGTACCTCCAGTCTGTGTTCTGCTGGAGTGCTGCCATCTTTTGAGTCTGCACAAATCTTGACAGCCCCAAAACCTTCAGCTTGGTGTTCACGAAAAAAGATGGTGCCCTCAGGAGGCAGCTGGTTTGGGCCACGTGTGGGCCTATGAGCAAGACGCAGCATTAGGTTGTCTTCACAAATATCTGCCTCAGTTTGTCCATCTCGTTTGTATGGCATTCATTCTTGTGTTACACCTCACAACCCTAATTAGTGGCAGTAAAGTGGTGGCTGATGAGCAAAGACCCAAACAAAACACAGTAACAAAAAGCAGTGGATCCAAGTTCCTCTTGTTCCTTAAGGGAACACTGACACCTCTTCAGGGCAAACGCTGTCTCCCCAAACCCATCCACGTATTGCCAACCTCCAGCACTGATGTGATTTCTGGTCCTGTTGGGTTTGGCTGGGCATGTCTCAAGAGGACATAGTGTAAATGAGTTGGGCACTTTGGATTCTTCCCACCTCCTCTGCCCCTCCTTGGGCTCAGTGAGCAGCAAACTGGAATGTGCTGGTAACCAGTGGGGTGTGGTTTTTATCCTTACCTCTCCTGGGTGTTATTCTCTGGTGGTAGTTTGCAGTAGTTCATGGTCAGGTATGCACTCGGCAATGGGTGGAGGCACTCACTGTTATTTCAGTGCCTGCTGCCTGAGGTTTATAGATAGTTGTGTACAGTAACTCATGAGCAACAGGCTTAGATTGGTTCATGACTTCAGTGCTGGGTTTGTTGGGGTTTTTTAGCTCTCCTTACTAATAATTGAAACATCCAAATGATAGTCTGCGTGTTTATTTTTCACTGTTCTTATGACTCCCATAAAAATTGAACTTTGCCTTTTGACAGTGAGAGCTTGTGAAGTTTTTTGCATTTTTAAAGCCTCTCAAATTTGGATTATTTTCTTGTCTTGCAGGCTGCTATATGGCAAGCACTTAACCACTACGCTTACCGGGATGCAGTGTTCCTTGCAGAAAGGTTGTATGCAGAAGGTATGTATTTTGCAAATATAAAGTTGATGCCTTTTTTTTTCCAATTTTAATTTAGGATTTTTGAGCCTCTGGTCCTGCTTTTTTACTCTTGTTGTGATAATAAAGTGTAACTTTCTGCTTGGGGAAGATGGAAGAATGCCTTGCAGTTAGGCTGGAAAATCAAATCATGTGACAGGAGCAATGTTATTTTACAGTGAAACTGCTTTAAAAAAATTAAGCTCAGAATTGTGTGTTTAAGCACAGTGTTTATAGTGATCTGTTGTATGGTATCAGATGGGAGAGAGTTTGTTTTTAATAACTTCAAACTGTGCATGTCTTTCAAGGGCACTGGAGGATAGATGCAGTAAGCAAACTCTGTACATTGTCTTGACAGTGAAAGCTGTCTGCTAATAATGCTGTTCAGGTAGGCTGACTGGTGTGTTAGCTGGAAGAGATCATCTTGTGATGATGAGAGAAAAGTGTAGTGAAGTAGAGACCATGAGAATCAGAACCTATAGAATAGTTATCTCCTGTGGAATTCTTATTAATTTTTACCTCATTGTAATGTTGTCAGATGAAGGATGTCCTGGATACTGAGCAGCAGGGGTAATGCAGATCTGTGCTTTTCCTGGGTCCTTCAAAGACAGCTTTCTTCTTGTGTTCTAGTCCCTCTTCTTTAACCTTTCCTCCATGACCTCAGATAAGCTTTTTGTCTTTCTCCTTGATACTGGCATTCAACTTTATTCTCTGTTCTTTCTTCTCTATTCGATTCTATTCTTCTCTATTTTGAAAGAGATTGAAAGGTATTGTCCCCTAATCAATAACATGAAAAAATAACAACCCAACCCTTAAGCTAAAACATAAGCATAATATGATTTCTCATGTTAAACAACGTGAGCTTATAATGTGAATTAAACTGTATAGCCCATTTCATGCTCCATGTTTTGTAATTAAATGTTTTGCTTTCAGTGTTTTGCCTGACATGCCCACAATGCACTTCTTAACAATGGAAGCACAAATCTAATTTTTTTGGGGGGGAAGACTTTCCTCATGTCAAGATTACCCATGAAATTTGGAGTCTTCTGTCTGGTGTGTAAGTGAGAAGTGTTGTGTAGAATGTTATAGAACCTTAGAACCTAGGTTTGCAAAAAGGCAATAGCTGTCTAGGGTTGACATGTCTCTCCTGATTGCAGCACATTGTCAGATGCAGGGAAATATTGATTGAAAGTAATTGCCAAGGATGAAGAAATGAAGAGACTCCTATTTTTGCAGCAGCCAGGAGAAAAATATATGACTTGATACAGAATAACACTCTGCAAGGGTACTTCAAACAGCTTTTTTTCAGTGGCCAACAGTGCTGAGAGAGAACAGCATGATGCTGTTACTTGGTTCAAGCAATTACCTGCTAACAAAACATCTGGCTTCTGGTTTAAATAGGTAGTTCTACTGCAGAGTAAAAGCTGCTGAACTTGAGTACAGTGACTCTGTATTTGCAGGAGTGATTTTTACCCTGAAAAGATGTTCTTTTAAGTCCACCTGCAATTACTGTCCTTGTGGGGACATCTGTGGCTTGGTAGTTTCCCTGAACTCAAAGTATGTTAAACTGATAAAAGAGTTGATTTAACTTTTTAATTTTCAAAAAGATCTTGTGGAGTTTTTAGGATAAAGCTAATAAAGTGCCTTCCTTTTGAGTCTTCAGTTTCCATTGTCACCATCTGGGTGATGACAAACTTAAAATAGTCCATTTTCAGTGCAGCAAAGGATTTGAGCAGCTTGCCCAAAGCCAGTTTTGTGCAATGGTTATACTGATTTTTTTCTGAAGAGTTCCACGTAGGTATAGGAACAAACATCAGAATTGTTTCTTTTAATGCTGTGTTCCATTTGCATTAGAGTGTGGGTTTCTTAATTATTTGCAGATTTAAGTTGCTTGTCTCTATGGACAGGCTTTGATTTAAAATACGTCATTGTGTAGGAGTGATTTGGGTCTAACATTTGGGGCAGTACAAAGAATAGAGTAAGCCTGTGCATTATCTGTGAGTGTATCTGCTTATCTCCTTTTGGCTTAAAACCCAGAAAACAGAGTTAAAAGAGTCATGCAGGTATTTTACAGTCAGCTTAGTGCTCAAATTCACCCCACAGCATGGAAGTGCTCGGTTTGCCTCACAAAAGTGTGTTCTCTGTTTAAAGTTTCAACTGATAATTTTGCAGCAAGGTTTTAAAGTCACTTCAGAAGTTAGCTCTCTGTCCTTTGTTCTGTAATCACGAGTGAAATCAGCAAGGCTGACCTCGGGCTTCAATCTGGATGCCAAGCCAAACTCTTTGAATAGAACAGTCTCACTGTGGTACAGAATTCATCCCTGCAGTGGAAGTGTTGAAGGAGACATCAAATCTAAATACTTCCAGTTTCTACAACAGAGAAATGGTTTTGGCTTGATTATTCTTGTTCTCTATTAGAGATTATTTTTCCTGAAACTTGACTACTTCATTCAGAACTTTGAAGTTTGAGGACTCAGCTTGGGAGGAGGATTTATAGGAGAGCTTGTCCCTATCATTGCTTCCTAACATCAAATAAATGAAGCATCTGAATGATAATGTTAAGCCATGTTCCTAAAGAGATAGTGAGTGTAGGCAGCAAAAAGGTCAAGACTTGATGTTGGGGCAGAGGTGACTAATAACTGACTGACTTTAGTAGTCATTAGAATCAGTACATTTGCTCCACTAAGTCATGTGGAGATACAGCATCAAGTGCTGTAGGAAAACAACAGAAGTAAAGCTGCAAACAGGGAAAAAGCACTTGAAATGAGGATTAAAACTGTTAATTAGGCTACTTAGGCTGAAATAGATCTTCCTTCTGAAAGTTCTCATACTTTCTAACAGCTGTTGTTGTGCCAGTGTTTATGCACTGCTTAAACTAGTGTAAAGTGGTACTGGGGGGGTGACAATACTCTGGGCTCAGTCTTGGTGTGGCCAATGAGTTTTTAAGTAGTTCTGTCCTACCAGGAATGACTCCTTTGCTTAGCTTGCTGTTACTTTAACAATCTGGCTAATCACTTAGATTGGGGAGCCAGAAGGATCAAAGTTCTCCTACAACAGTAGATGTTGAGTTGGTCTGCCTCTACAGGAAAATGACACAGGGAAATTTGTTGTATGCTGACAAAGAAAGAAACACACTTCATTCAGTGATGAATTTCTCTAAATATCAATACTCCTTTTCTTTTATCTCGTTCCTAGCTGGCTTTTACTCCCTGCACTCAGATTCCCTGGATCAAAGCAGTAAACAGGCAGCTGATGATTTTAAAAACGTGTGTTTTGTTTTGCAGTCCATTCAGAAGAAGCCCTGTTCCTGCTGGCCACGTGTTACTACCGCTCAGGAAAGGCCTACAAAGCTTACAGGCTCCTCAAGGGACACAGCTGCACTACTCCCCAGTGCAAGTACCTGCTTGCAAAGTGTTGTGTGGACCTCAGCAAGTGAGTCAAACTTTTGTGTCCTGTCCAGGGTTACAAATGCATTGTTTTGGTTTTTTTTTGTTTGGGTTTCTCTTTGGAAGCTGTAATATTGCATAAACTAGCACTTTGTTAGTCCTTCAGCTCTGAAGGTTATTAAAGTTCAATTAACTTTGCTTTCAGATAGGGACCTAATGAACTTTAGCTTGTATTGCAGAAAGCTCTAAAAGGTATCAGATAGCTTACAAAGGAGTTCTCAGGCTGTGCTGGGGGAGAAAACACTGACTGCTGAAGTGACTTAAGGAGATTGAAGGTCTTGGAGTGCATTAAGAAGAGTGTGACCAGCAGGTCTAGGGAGATTCTCCTCTCTCTCTGCCCTAGTGAGGCCACATCTGGAGAACTATATCCAGTGCTGGGCTTCCCAGTTCAAGAGAGACAGGGAACTACTGGAGGGAGTCCAGCAGAGGCTACAAAGATGCTGAGGGGCCTGGAGCTTCTCTGTGCCATTTTTGGCTTGGTTTTGAGTGATCCTCTTTCAGTCATCAATAACAAAGTTCACTTTCTTTAGCATAGGTAACGTGAAGTTTGGAGCTTCACACAGGAGGATGTGATTATTTTGCAGGGTTTGTGACCCTGTTCACGTGTAAGCAACACGTAGGTCTCTGCAGAGGCAAGGGGGAAGCTCCTTAGCCTTTGATTCTCTTTAGGAGGCAAGTCCTCTGGCATCTTTAGAGCAATGAGGATGTCTTGACTTGTGTTTCTTTTGACACTTTTAACACTTTTGGAGCTATTAGGGTGCAGGTTTCTTTACATCTTCCATTGAAAGGGAAATCATGTTAATACTCTGCTTGGAAAGGTCCCAGTGGAATATATTTGAAGCTGATTGTTCCCTCCCTTGCTTTTGCAAAGTCTGGTTTGTGCATGTAGTACATTAGCTTCTGATTTCAGTTAGGTGGGATTTCTGAAACATTCTTTAGAATTTATTAAATCTGTCACTGCTGTTGGAGTTAGATGAGCTCATTTATACAGATGTACCTTGTTTTCTTGTGGGAATGGTCTGTCCTGATAGAAGCATCTACCCACAAGTATAATTTCAAGTGGAGGCAAGAAGTGATGATTTGTTTGTGCAGGTGTCAGTCTCAAATGCCAGAAGAATGCCTCCCATCCCCAGAGGTTGTATGAAGTAATTTTCAAGCCTACCAAGTGGTGCTGCTCACTGCAGGTGTGGGAGATGCAAACAGAACTTGTCCTCTTGAGCCCCTCTTGCAAGAAAGCAAGGCATTAAAATCCAAAATTTGTGCCATGTCCCAGTACTGGCCATTAGCTGAGTGCATGGAGCCTTACAAATTGTATTTCTTGGGAAACAGCCCAAGGAAGTCTTGCCTTAGCCTGTTACTAGGTAAAGTACCTTCCAAAATGAAGTGTCTAGAAGACTTTCTTGTCCTCCATTTAATATTCAACCTAAGATTAGTTGCCTCTGGAAAAGTCATGTTGTATTATGCAGCTCTGCTTTTGGAGTGGTGGGGGATTTGGGGGTTTTTGTTTCTCTTCCCTCCCAGTAGAGAAGCTGGCTTCAGAGTACTGCAGACCTCTGTGGTGCTGGAGGAATCCATCCCAGATTTAAAATTCATTTGCAGGAACTACTTTGTATGTGGTTGGAAACTTGTGAACACTGACAGTGGATTTCTGTTTTTGTTTGCAGCAGGGTGAACACACTGGACTACCAATACTGTGAGCCTTGTAACCCCTTTAAACCTCTTGTTTTTTAAAAAGGCTTGCAGAAGGAGAGCAGATCTTATCTGGTGGAGTGTTGAATAAACAGAAAAGCCATGATGACATTGTTATGGAGTTTGGTGACTCTGCATGCTTTACACTCTCCTTACTGGGACATGTCTACTGGTAATGTTGTCTTTTAAAATTTTGCCTAATAAAGCTTGGGGGGTGGTTATTTAATCAGTTTTAGTCAAATATATATTTAGTCACCATGGGGTACACCTGTCTCTGGGATTTTAAGCTACACAATTTGAGTAGGATAGATGCAGGTGGATAGTTGTGGGAGCCATCTAATTTGGGAATGCAGAAATGGGTTGTGTTTCATCCAGAGCTTCTGTCTGACTCAAAACACAAATTCCTCTTCTCCAGGTTGTCAGGAATATCATCCAAAAGTCTGTTGGGTTTTTTTTAATACTCTTGGGTTAGTTGTGTATTCTTCCATAACAGAAGCTCTCAAGGCCTGTTTCTCAGTGTTGTCACTTTGATTTTTCTGTCTCTAGTTTACAGCTGTAAAGCTGTAACCTGCAAATGAAAACTTTGAGGACTGCCAGTCAGAATAACTTTACACGTTTAAGTGTTCTGCTTTTGCCTAAATACAGGAAAGGTTTCAGTAAATGTGAACAGACTGGGGGGTTCTGGGATTCTTCCCTAGTATATCTATTCTCCAAAAAAATTATTTCAGAAGCTGCTGTCCTTGTAGGCAGATGTGGGCTAAACTGAACACCTAAGTATTTTGTATGCAAAAATCTCATCCATAGATACTTAAAATGGCTGGAAGGCTCACAATCAGGCTGCTGTTTTCCAAAAAGAAAAAAGCTGTTTCAAGGAACAGCATCTTTCTAAAGCAGAAATTCTCAAGCTGTGCTAGTGCTTATGTAACTGTCTAAGTAATTTTCATCTGTGTCTAAATATGTCAGATAACTTCAAAAGAACTCAATATTACTCAGTGGCCTCAAAAAATGAGGGATGTCGCTGTGACTCCCCACATGTTTTTGTTTTTCAACTCCTTTTCTGGAATGCTATCTTGAACAAAAGTGCTGTTCTGAAGTTTCCTGTAAACCACTCACATTGTTTTTGCAGCAAGACAGACCGGCTTGCCAAAGGATCAGAATGTTACCAAAAGAGCCTTAGTTTAAATCCTTTCCTCTGGTCCCCTTTCGAATCGCTGTGTGAAATAGGTGAGTCTGTGGGAGTGTTCCACTAGTGGAGATGGTTTTTGTGTTTATGGTTATGTCAAACTTTCTGACTTTTCCAGCACTGTATGGCAAGGTTTATTTTACTCGTTGTCCAGAACTAGTAAGGAAAATGCCAGCAGAATTCTTTGGGAGTGGCTTTGTGAGCAGTAATGCATTTAAAATCCTTTGCCAGTGTTTAGAGCTTTTGTATTGTTTTCTTCCAATTTCTTACATACTTTCAGATTTAACAATACCATATGTTTTCAAACCTATACTTAGTAAATCCTTAGAAACTATGCTTCTGAGAATAACTTGAAGCAAGTCTATTTTTTAGTAAACCAAATCACCCAGAGTTTTGTAGTAGAACACTTTTGATTTAGCATATGGGGCTTTAAAACAATTAAATTAGAATGCACCCCTTCTAAAATATTTTGTCCCTTGTCTTCCTTGTTTCAGACTGAATATTCAGTGTATAGACTAACTCAGGAATAACTCTATTTAATAATCTCCTTTCAATCTTACAGGTGAAAAACCAGACCCTGACCAAACATTTAAATTAACATCTTTACAGAACTTCAGCAGCTGTCTGCCTAACACTTGCACAACGTTGGTGTCTAATCACAACATATCCCACAGGCAGCCTGAGTCTGTCCTCATGGAAACCCCACAAGACACAATTGTGAGTTTTGCTGCAATCATTGTGTTTAAAACAGTCTTTCCAGCTTCTCTGAAAAATGCTAATTGGGAACTCTGCTGCGTGGGTATCCAACTGCTGCCTTCCATTTTTCAGGAGCTGAACAGAATCAACCTAGAATCCTCCAATTCAAAATATTCCTCCTTGAACACGGATTCTTCTATGTCTTACATTGACTCGGCTGTAATTTCACCAGATGCTGTCCCTCTTGGGTCAGGAACTGCCATACTGTCTAAACAGGCTCAAAATAAACCAAAAACTGGGCGGAGTTTACTGGGGGGACCTGCAGCTTTGAGCCCACTAACTCCAAGGTAAGTCCTTGGGATGGACAGTTTCTGGCCACAGCTGTGCTGTTGGTAATGTTTGTGATTTGGAACAGGAACAACGTCTGGTGCTGCACAACATACTCCAAGGTGCATGTTGATATATAATGTAAATAATGCTGTTTAACTTTCTCTTCTGCAACTTCAGTATCTGGTCCTAGTGCTTGTCCCTTCTGTTTTTTTTAAACAAGCAGTTGGTAGTTTTGCTTAGAAGGGAGGAACTCTTGATTCTCTGTATTGCTTATTGCTATGTTCATGCTGGAAAAGTCTTTCAAGGAGGATGTTTCTGCTCTTCAATCAACTCTAAAGAGCATTTCTTGAAGAATAGCTCTCCCAAAGAGCATGTAAATATATGTTCTATCCTATAGGCCATTCTGGAAAAGTCTTTCAAGGAGGATGTTTATGCTCTTCAATCAACTCTAAAGAGTATTTCTTGAAGAATAGGTCTCCCAAAGAGCATGTAAATATGTTCTATCCTATAGGCCATCTTGGTGGTTGGACTTGATGATCTTGAAGGTCTTTTCCAACCTTAATGATTCTATACTCTTATTTAAACAGTCTTATGTTATGAGCCATTAGTCCTTGGATGGTCTGGGTCTGTTGGTTATTATGCAGGCAGGCAAAGAAGGTTCTGTATTTCTCAATTTCTGCACTAAGTCTTTTCTGTTGAAGTCTTGTATAGATGAGGATAATAAGACATTAGAGGCTTAACATAAATCAAGTAGTTCTGAAGTAGAGTGGATCTTCTGAGTCTTTTAACCACAGAATCAGGCCAGCTCTCGTGGTCTAACATTCAGACATTGACTTTTCCTTTTCATTTTGTCCTCAGCTTTGGAATTTTGCCACTAGAAACCCCAAGCCCTGGAGATGGATCCTATTTACAGAACTACACAAACTCTTCTTCTGTAATTGATGTGCCACCCACAGGAGCACCTTCAAAGAAGGTACCTTGCATTCTGGCATACAGTTACTGCTCTGAGTTCAACACTGCAGTGTGCTTTAAAGGGGAGTCCATAATGCAGATAAGAATTGTTGCATGTCAGCTGAATTGTGCTGACAGAGGGGAGAACATGACTTGCTCACTGTTCACAATTTGTTTTGAAAAGCAATTTGAGTGTAGAACTGATGGCAACCCCATTTACTTATGGGAATGGTTCAGGTTATGTGAGAATTAAAGTTGTGTCATTTGCATACAAAGTCTGTAAAAACAGGAGGGGAAAAAAAAACCCAACCAACCAAAAAAAACCCTCAAAACAAAAACACTAAAACAAGACCCACAAAAAAAACAAACAAACAAAATTACACTCAAACTCCCTGCTCTTACTAACAGTTATTTAATGCAGCAAAATAAAATATTCACCAGCTTTTATATATATATTTTTATAGGTGGGGGGTACAAGGAGCAGTTTATTTTTAATTTGTCTGCAGCTGGTCAGGTATTTCCCTGACAAAACTTTTTAGATTTTCCTGAAGTGTTAGTTAGATTCATTGTAGAATAGTCAATGACATTGAAATGACTGTTTCTAAAGCCTCAATAGTGTTTTTTTTACTCTGCTCTGTAAGAAACTGCTGTAGTTGCCATAGTGACAAGTGAGAGGTGGAATGTTGGTGACAGTTGAAGAACTTTGTTCCTTACTAAAAACAAATACCTTGAGGATTCTTCCCTGCATTTTTAGTAAACCAAGAAGTTGCATGAAGGTTACTAGTGTGTTACAGGTGGCCAACTCTAAAGTATACTCAGTGCACATAATAGTGTTGAATTCCTCAAAAAGTGAGCTTGAATTTCCCCATTTGATGCTCTGAACAAATCAGCTGGTGCTCAGTTTGTGGTGCCATTCTGCAAGTCAAATTTGGGAGCTGCTAAAACAGTCTTCCCTCATTGGCCCAATACTTAAAGAATAAAAGCCAGTAAGTGGATAATGTTTGTTTTTCTTTGGATGGTCTTCAGTGTAGTACTCATCTGCATTTAATCTTGAATGTGTGCTGCATGATAGATGAAAAGCTTTGGGGAATCAAGCCCTGTTTGCTGCTCCTGTTGCTTTGCTAGGTGTGATGTGCCAGCCCTGAGGTGAGAACTCTGCTGCTCTGGGAGAACTCTGGGCAAATGCTTCCTGCCCAGAGGCATCTGTCCTGCCACCCAAACACAAACAGTTAACACACTTCAATAAACAGCTTAGCATTTCAGCTTTGTCCAGTGCAAATAATTACTTGGCCAGTTTCATTTCTGCTCTTCAAATTAGCAAGTTAGAAAAGCTGTAGTTGGAGCTGTGGCTAGAATGTGCATGACTTAATGGAGGCAGTCTCCTAGGAAACACTTACGTAAACGAATGAAACGTTAGGATGGATCCAAAGGCTTCCTATCTGAGTGGGCAACACACTTGCTGGCTGCCTAAACTCTCCTCTGATAACAGAGAAACTGAGAAGGGAAGGACAGAACGCTAGAAGTCAGATAATACATAAACTGCTGCTGCTTTTGCTGTTGTTGATCCCACTTACTGATTTCCAGTGTGTTAAAGAATATCTCTTCCAAACAGCCATCACCAAGTTGAATTTTAGTTTCCCTGAGCCAAACAAGAGGGTTTAAGCTTTCTTTAAAAGGCAGGGAGGGGAAGACCTGTTCTGAATCCTTTGTAGGAAGTCTAAGCAGCAGACAAATCTTGATCTGAACTCATTGCTAAGGTCTCAGATTCACAGTTATCACAGCTCTAAGTTCCCACACCTCAGCTGTGCCAGGGTAGGCACCAAAGTGCATGGTCTAACTTTCTGAAGCTAGAAGTCAAGGTTTTGGTGCTAAGTCATATTCCATGCTTGTAACCTGTGGCAAATAAAAGGTACAAAAAAAGTGCATGAGCACCAGTGTTGCTCCAGTGATGTGCAGTTACTTGCTGCACCTCAGTGATGTGTTAACTGCTGAATGACTTATGGATGTGATTGTAATATGGCAATTCAAAAATCTTCCCCTTTCCATGATTGGGATTTCTTGTACAACTTTCTGTGGAGAAGGAACTTGAAATATTACTGTTTTTCTTGCATAAACATCCTACTATATAGCTTCTTGCCACTAGATGGAGATTTCCTATCTTTCAAGTGCTGTGCACAAAGTTGGTAAACTCAGTTGATGGCATTTTAACAGGGAGAAAGAGAAATGCTTTTGATAGGCCCCCCCTTGGAGAGGGGGCCCCTTATGTTTAGTGAAAGGATCTGTATTTATCCTCCTTTATGCAGTGCTTGACAGGCAGAATGGATTTGGTTTGATAGAGCAGAGATTGAGACTTCTTAGTGACATAATAACAAACCTGTAGAAACTTTGTGTTGTGCAGACTGTCAGCAGGATAAGCCAAGCTGGAACAAAATCTGTCTTCTCACAGAGCGGAAATAGCCGGGAGGTCACTCCAATTCTTGTTGCACAAACACAGAGCTCTGGCCCACAGACAAGGTAGGGGGAAAACCCAAGAGATCATCTTGGTATCACCTTTTGCATCTCCTTTCTTGAAGGAATTTGGGGCT